ATGCTGTAAACTTTTTCTCACAAAAACGTTGGAGATTATACAAATGGGTAAAAAAAGGTGAATTTAGCACACATCAGTGTTCCCAAATGCATGTTAAACTCACAGCACATGCACAGATGGAGTGCACTGCATTTGCTGTGAACCAAGAAGCGCTCGCTTTGAAACACGCAGAGCATCAGACTATTTAGTTATTTAATTAAATCTTTAATTTGTTTTGATAATCACTATATTGTGATTATTGTGCCACCCTATTCCTTTATTTTCATTGGATATGATTCATTTTTAGCTTTTCATCAACTCATGAACCCCCTTTGGGGACGCCTTGCCTGATTCTATGTAATAATGTAATAATTTTATTTTTGCTTAAATATTTAATTAGGTTATTAGGTATTAAAAAATAATTAAAATACCGAAGTGCAAAGTGTTTTATTTTGTGAAATTCTAAATAAAAATATTTTAACACAAACTTCCTTAATTTCTTTTTAGAGGCTGATTTTGAGGTCCCAGAACTGCCTGAAAGCCCGATCCCGAAAATATCCCAGAGACCTCTTTCTGACAACATCTTACCCTCTCCCCCTTTCTCATCTGGTCGACCATCCCTATCAAAAACTGACAGGTAGTCAACCACCTTTGTAGTTTTTGAGGTCAAGACTTTCTTCTAAATGAGACTTATTAAGTTACAAAAGTCTTATTTTGTTTTGGCTTCTTGTGCTTCTTATTTCAGCTCAGCATCATCTGAGGACCTTGGGGTGACAGTCGTTGTGAAATATCAGGTGAACCGTGATGCTGTTGTGTGGGACAACATCGATTCTAATCCAATTGCTCAACCGCCTACACAGAATCACATGCCTCCAGCACTTCCTCGTTACACTCAAGCCCACAGCCAATCGCAGGCTAAGACACAGAGCTCCAGCCAATCAGAGCCAACCCGGGAGCTGCCCTCCCAGTCCCAGGAGCCCATGCTGAAAATCACTGCTCCATATAAATGTATGTTGGTAATCATAGATCAGGGATCCTCAAATCTGGCCCACGAGATCCGTTTTCCTGCAGAGTTTAGCTCTAACCCTAATCAAACACACATGAGCAAGCTAATCAATGTCTTCAGGATCATTAGAAAATCACAGGTAGGTGAGTTTGATCAGGGTTGGAGCTAAACTCTGCAGCGCATTGGCCCTCCAGGGCAAGATTTGAGGAACCCTGGTCTATGGTGTGTCAACAGAACCTGGAACTATGCAGCGCTAAATATATACCATTATGTCAAAAAAAAAAAACGAATTTATTTAATTTTAAATGAAACAAATGTAAGCCTGATAGTATTCCCACTTTTTACAAAATTTAACTGTAATTTGAATAATTATGTTGAAGGTGTCTGAATATATTTTGGTTTGACTGTATCTATTTGATAAATGAAGTTAACCAACTAACATTATACATACCCTTTTGGTTTCTGTACCCAATATTTAAAAAATGTACAAATGCAAAAAAATACCGGCATCGGTATCGGCAAGTACCAAAAATAAAAGTATCGGTATCGGGCGAGTACTGGAAAAAGTGGTATCGGTGCATCCCTAATAAATAGTATTACAATTTAAAATAACTTTTCTATTTGAATATATTTCAAAATGTAATTTATTCCTGTGCTGACTTCTCAGCAGCCATTACTTCAGTCTTCAGTGTCACGTGACACTACAGAAATCATTATAATATTCTGATTTGGTGCTCAAGAAACATTTTTTATCAGTTTTGAAAACAGTTGTGCTGTTTAATATTTTTGTGGATAATAAGCAGTGATACATTTGTTCCTTTGATGAATTAAAGTTCAATAGAACAACGTTTGTTTTACATTTATAAATATCTTTACTGTCACTTTTGATCAGTATCTTATTTTATGCATCCTGAATAAAAATATTAATTAAAAAAAAAAAAAAAAAAAAATCC